GGCTGAAGCAGGAGAATCGCTTGAAACCAAGAGGTGGAGGTTGCAGTGAGCAGAGATCATGCCCCTGCACTCCAGCCCGGGCGACAGAGCGAGACTCCATCTCAAAAAAAAAAAAAAAAAAAAAAATTCTTCTGAGACAGGGACCATGAAGTTAACGAAATCAACAGGCTAAAGAATGCTTAAGGAGCCCTGCTTTAGGTACAACCACTTGTGAGGGGCATATTATGCTCCCCTTAACCCTCAGACCAGTGTTTCCCAAACCAACACAATAAGAATCAGTTGAGGGACTTATTACTCCAAGTGAGGCCTAAGACTCATTTTGTTTAACAAGAGCTTCCTGAGATTTGGGAAATGCTGTCTTATAATCAGTAAATGTGGGGAATGCTGCCCTAGGCTGTGTCTATTGAAAATCAGTAGACAAGTTCAGTATCTGAAGACACTTTCCTGCTTACTCAACTTCTGTATTGCCACAGGGAGTTAGTACATTCATTAGTAAGTAAGAGTAACACCACCTGGTTGATGTATAATTCTGAAGTGAGTTATTCATTAGAATGCAGGAGAAAGAATGGTGTCTCTAAAAAGCCTTAAGCCAAACTGACTTTTTTCACTTTTTTTTTTTTTGAGACTGTCTCGCTGTATCACCCAGTCTGGAGTGCAATGGCACGATCTTGTCTCACTGAAACCTCTGCCTACCGGGTTCAAGCCCTTCTCATGCTTCAGCTTTCCTAGTAGATGGGATTACAGGCGCACACCATCACACCCAGCAAATTTTTGTATTTTTAGTAGAGATGGGGATTTCACCACCAACTCTTCCTCCTATGATATTAGAATGGAGTTAAATTGTACACTTCTCAGAAGCACACGATGCTAACCTTTGAGAGGCAAGAAGAGTAATGGTTAATATAAAGAGGTCAAAATTCTAGCTCCCTTTACAAGCTATGGGTCCTTAGGCAAAATTCTAGCTCCCTTTACAAGCTATGGGTCCTTAGGCAAATTTCGTGACCCTTCCAGGTCTCCTTTTCTTTTATTTATTCAATTTTTTCTTGAGACAGAGTTCTGCTCTTTTTGCCCAGTTTGGAGTGCAATGATGGCATGATCTTGGCTCACCGCAAACTCTGCCTCCCGGGTTCAAGCGATTCTCCTGCCTCAGCCTCCCAAGTAGATGGGATTACAGGCATGCACCACCACGCCCAGCTAATTTTGTATTTTTAGTAGAGACAGAGTTTCTCCATGTTGGTCAGGCTGGTCTTGAACTCACAACCTCGTGTGATCTGCCCACCTCAGCCTCTAAAGTGCTGGGATTACAGGCGTCAGCCACCACACCTGGCTTTCATTTCTTACTTTTTTTTTTGAGACGGAGTTTCGCTCTTGTTACCCAGGCTGGAGTGCAATGGTGTGATCTCAGCTCACTGCAACCTCTGCCTCCTGGGTTCAGGCAATTCTCCTGCCTCAGCCTCCTGAGTAGCTGGGATTACAGGCACGTGCCACCATGCCCAGCTGATTTTTTGTATTTTTTAGTAGAGACGGGGTTTCACCATGTTGACGAGGATGGTCTCGATCTCTTGACCTCGTGATCCACCCGCCTCGGCCTCCTAAAGTGCTGGGATTACAGGCGTGAGCCACCGCGCCCAGCCCCATTTCTTTATCTATAAGTTAGAAATCATATTTGCCTCTTCAGGTTGCTATGAGGTAATGTGTGAGAGTTACCAGTCTATTCTTGGCACCTAGATGCACTTTATTGACCTCTTACTGTTAGTTTTCTTGATGTGGAGGACGCTAATAGAAAAAAACAATTTCACCATAAATCCCACCAATTAGAGACTCATTTTAATGAGTAAGCTCCAGGGAAGGCTAAGTGATGGCACCTTAGTTGGAATTATTTTAATCAGCTAATCAGATTGTTTTCTTCTTGACTCTAAGCTGAAATCAAGGAGAGAATGAGAATTTTGATGACAGAATCACGAGACAGGAAAAGAGGATAGCCAGAATGGGATGAGGCCAGTGGGGGCCTGGAAGCCAGAAAACAGCTTGAGGGTTTTGGCCTTTGTGGCTAAGCAGGAGGGGTATTAAAGAAAACTGTCTGGTGTACTTTCACCAGCCCCAAAGTACCACTGTCTCTTGCACTATTCTTTGAACCCTGGGATAGATGCAATCAGGAGAGTGTCTCTTTCCCTGGAAAGGAGATGATGTGGTCTGTCACACAAAACCCTGAGGAGCACCTGGTTTCCTCCTTTCCCCTGGTATCTACCCACTTCCATCTCTTTTCTAACAACTACCCCTCCCCACCTAACACTTCCCTATAGCAGGGTGTGTAACAACCTACATTCCAATGCTCTGTCTGCCTGTACTAGCCCTGTAACCTTGGACAAAGCGGTTATTCTCTTTAAGCTTTTAGATTCTTCCTTGACAATAAAGATAATCCTCTGTCATAGGATATAATTGGCAATAGAGGCCATGTATGTAAAGTGCTTTGCAGAACACCAGGCACTTAGTAAGCATTCAATAAAGATTAGCTCTTATTACGACAGATTACGTCAGAGGCTGTTAATTATTTCAGAATATGTTTTCATGCTTGGGCCCTGCTCTGGGAGCTGGGGATGCAGCAGCGAACAAGTAAATCTTCCTGCTCGTTTTGGTGTTGGTTCAGTAACGACCGCTCCACCTCCTACCAAGTAAGGTATACGTTGTCCTCAAAAACCTCTAAGAATGCGCGCATCCAATAAAAACAAATTCCGTTTTCAAAATCTGAAGGTTCAAAGTTATAGAAATTTCTGGAATGGGTCATGTGGGTTGGTAACACATGTGCAGTAAATTCTTAATAAATGTTAATTCCTATTAACAATATTAGGATATCATGATGATCTCCAGTATTCTATTGAAGAGTGTCTTGCTTCTCCAGTTATCTTGTAAATTCTTTAAGGATCGGCCCTATAGTACATTTTGTAAAACCTCTCAACACGCATGACATACACTCCTTCTACAAACCAAGTACTAAGAGCTTCACAGGTATTTGCTTTACAAGTGCATGAATAAATGAATGAATATCCAGCAAACACTGAAGTTCGCTGTTGTCTTAACTATCCTTTTTCACCTACGCTAGCCCAACACACACATAAACAAACATGTGCTCACAATTACGCCAAAACGTGTTTCTTTACCCAATTTAAGACATTAACTGCTGAGAAGACGTAATGTTGAAATAAAATTTATTATACAAAATCAACTTTTTCAAGAAGCTTTTACAGGATACAATGTCCTATGTAATGAACAAAACCATTGTTTATTCTCCTGGTTCCCCTAAATCATTGTGACATTATGACTCTTTAGATCAGAATTCTTACATCTCAATTTTTTAAAAGCTTTTTATTCTCGTGATTCCTATAAATTCATATTCAGTTTTCATTTATATAGAGCCAATTGGCCAAACTAAAAGACAGACAGTAAATCCAAAACCAAACAAATAAATTATTCACTAGTTTTAACTTTTCATTGTTGCTTTTAAACAAAAAATCATTGGTCAGGGTTTCTCAAAACAGTCTGGAGATGACCAAACATAGGAATAAAATGAGATGCAAAAAAAGAAACAAATCCAAGGGGAAGAAGTTATTATGGGCGAGGTAGGACAGACGATCTTTTAGGACCTTGCTTTGTTGGGATAAAACAGAAACGCACAGTAAAGTGCCTTGGTCATATAAGAAAATTTTTGCATGAGAAACTCCAGACGAAGGGATAGCACTATCATTAGACACAGTCATTTGGTCAGTATCTGTTTTCTCGTTGAGAAGCTACTTTCAAGGCTACTGTACCGTTTTTCACTCTTTCTTCCTCTTAAATGGCCACTGGGCCTGTTCAGGAGGGGTATTGTGAATACCCAGCTAAGCCAGAGACACAAAGCTTGGCAGGTTTCTCTCTGAGAACTATGGTCCCCAAGAATGGCAGCCCCTGCAGGGAAGAAGCTGGTAACTGCACAAAGCCTCACAGTCCATGAGCAGCCTTTGGTGGACAATTTAAAAGTGACAATCTCCCTGACACATCTTCCTGGCTCAATTAGGCTGTGTAAAAGTTTTAAAAGTGAATAGAAACATGCTAAAATATAAATTATATTACCTAAATTCCTGACTGTAAGCATTATCAGAGGATGTTATGGAACTTGAAACACAGGTATAGATAGATACATGAAGTCGAAAGCATCCTCATGAATTCTAAGTAGTAGAGAGAATCCAGCCCTCTTCCCCACCTTTTGGTTTCTGGGATGTGGGTGGGGAGGGGGAGTGTTGAAGGCAGTCACATTGGCACAGACTTATTTTATACAGATTCCCATAGGTGTTGTTTCAGAGTGTTTCCAAGCTTTACAACCTGAAGCCAGAAAGATTTTTACTTTAGAGGTACATTTTGTGAAAAATGTGTTCTTAGCTTATTTCTTCAGTGACCAACTCTCTACTGGGTGGAGGGCTTCAGAGATACAGTTTTGGCATAAGGCATGCATTGGGCAGTCACCAAAGTTCTTTTACCACCAGCTGAGCATCTATCCGTAAGTACGTCACTTAACCACAAGGAGAGTTATTTGCCTCTGGAGTTTGAACTTCACCAGTGATTCTCAAATCTTGGTATGTATAGGAGTGTTTATTTAAAAATGAAGATTTATGGACCAAAGAGCCAAAGATTCTGACTCAGTAGGTATAATAAGAAGGATTCAGAAATTTACATCTTTAATGAATATTCCACTGTGGACCACACTTTGAGAATCTCTGGACTAATTGATGTGGAAGATCACTCCCAGCATTAACATTCTAACATTCTGTGAATTTGTCCTTTCTTTAGCAACCAATCTCAGATAGCCTGGCACTCCCTCGATGTCCATCTGCCGTGTGGGAACAATGGTACACAGGGAGCAGGAGCACCAACATCTACTCCAGGCAGCATAGGAAAGTCGATGGGGCCAGTTGGGTTGTTGTTCCTGCACTGGGGTAAAAACTGACATCCTTGTCTCTGACACCCAGGTGACAGGTGGAGTCTGGAATTTCAGCCGCATTTGCTGCGATGTTTTTGTCACCCTGGATGTCATGATGTGTACGGCCAGCATCCTGAACCTCTGTGCAATCAGCATAGACAGGTAGGGTTGCAATTCCCCCTCCAGGTGGCCCAAAAGCTGGGGAAGTGGGGAGAGACAGGTTTTGCATTTGAGGGTACTGGGGTAACCTCCAAGTAGAACTTGACACTGGAACATTTTCTTTGTTTTTCTTTTAAAGTATGGTTTGCCGGTGAGAAGAAACCCCTGCGACAGGAGGGAAATAATGATCCTATAAGCTTTCCTGGCCTTTCTTCTCCTCCAACTCCCTGAAAAGGATTCTGGTGCTGCTTTTCCACCATCCTTTGGGGGTTTTATTGCTTTCTAATAGGAAGGCAAGGAGGGGGGCAGAAGGAGGAAAGGTGAGCTGACTGGGGTTCATAGGAAATTCTGTTATTGTTTTGTTTGTTTTTGTTGAAGGGAGAGATAGAAAGTGTGGGGCAGGTATAGGGATACTTTTTGAGGGTGAGGGGGAGAGAAGTGGGGGAGAAAGGCAATTTTAGAAAGCATGGATGTGATCTATATGTTTCTCTCATAGAGCTTAGAGAAGGAAGTAAAGAACAATATGTTGTTTAAAATTACATTTTGTTTGCTGGGATGAATTGCAATGATTTTGACTCCTCTCTCTGTGTGTGCTGCCTGAGTAGCATTGCTTTCTATCGCTGAGAGCACCTGGACTCACCACCCTTGCTCTGGGTCCCTCTGTTTCTCCCTTTCCCTCTCCTTTTGTCTTCCTCTCTTCTTTCCCCTTTCCTCTCCCTGAGCCTTAGATTTGCCATGGCTCCCCCAGGACATCACCAGGCCCACTGAGAGCCCTGGGGAAAGGAGGTCACTTTTAAGCCTGTAGCCCTTGACACCCATCATCAAGAGCTACCTCTTTTTCCTCCTCTGAATTCTCTCCATCCCACTTCCCCTTCCACCTCTTACCCGCACCAATAATATCCATCCACCTCAAAGCTCCACAGGTGACCCCAAATAAGATCTGCCATTTATTGAGAATTTATCACATTGTGCTAAGTTTTGACACACATTAACTCATTTCATTTTCACAATTCTTAGGTACTGTCATTATCTTCAATTTCCAACTTCTTAGAGTACTTAAGGAATTTTCCAAGGCCACACCACTAGCACAGGGCCACGTCAGGATTAGAATTCATGTCTATTTGACTTGAAGTAAATAACCCTAAGCTTTGTGCTAACCTCCCTAAGTCTCCAGCTACATTCACGCCTTCTCCCCAGGTCCCAGATCACATCACTGCCTGGGTATTCCACGTGTGTCTGTTATGCCAGTTGCTAAAAACCAAACCATTAAAGCACCAAATCATCTTGACATGGTGATCTCTTCTTGACAGCATCTTTCCCCTGGAATCTTGTGTTTTGTTTGACCCCTTTCTCTTCCTAATCTATCATATTCAAGAGGTTGGTGTTTATAGACCCTATTTTTGCCTTTTTTTTTTCAGATTTTCCTCTACTTTGTCTTTCTTGCTGCCTCCTACTTATTTGAAGATCCCATGACCCTTACCTAAATTCTGCTGCACTTTCTAACTGGTCCTTCATATCACTATCAAAATTGTTCCCCCAAAAGTAAAGCCCCAGTGGCCATTCCCCCACTCAAAACCCCTCAGTGTCACCTTGGCCTACTGAATGAAAGTTAGAATTACCTCTACAGCCTGGCATTCAATGTTTTCCACAATATGGCCTCAAGCAATCCTCCCTTCCTTCCTTCCTTTTCTTTCCTTCCTTCCTTCCTTCCCTCCTTTCTTCCTTTTTCCTTGCTTTCTTTTTTCTCTCCCTTTATCTCTCTCTCTTTTTCTTTCTTTCGTTCTCTCTCTCTTTCTTTCTTTCTTTCCTTCTTTCTTGTTTTGAGTCAGAATCCTGCTCTGTCTGGAATGCAGTGGTACAGTCTCAGCTCCCTGCAAACTCCACCTTCTGGGTTCAAGCAGTTCTCAATCCTCTGCCTCCTGAGTATCTGGAATTACAGGCACCCACCAGCCTGTCTGGCTAATTTTTGCATTTTTAGTAGAGATGGGTTTTCACCATGTTGGCCAGGCTGGTCTCAAACTCCTGGCCTCAAACAATCCACCTGCTTCGGCCTCCCAAATTGCTGGGATTAGAGGAGCAAGCCACCATGCCCAGCCTCAATCCCCCTTTTCATCTCTTCCCAGGTCACCTCATATTCTCATATTCTCATGCTCCAAGACCTATCACAATGGTCCTCTTTTCCATAAAACTCTTTCACAGTCCCACAGTCTGATTCAGTCACCCTTGAACCCTCATAATGCTTTCTATGCTTTCTCTGTCACTATGTTGTGGCATCGCCAGCTTGCCTTTTCTAGAGGTCCTAGAACAGGCCCCCCTTTCTAATGGCCATGTTTGAGTTTTCTCCTCAATATCCAACAGCCTGCGGGACCCGCAACTTTTCATGTGCTGACAATCTGGAAATTTGGAAGAACCAATAACAAACCAAAATTAATAGGATCAACGCTCCCTTCTTTTCCATTCTGGTGTAGCCTCCCAACAAACCCTATGGCCCATTTCCCACAGGGATGATGACTTTGTTAATTTGTTGTATTCCCCCTTGGCCTAAGGCTGAATCTCCAACTGGAGTCAGGAACAACAACAACACAAGTCCTCATCTCTGCAACAACAACAACAACAACACAACAACAATTGTAGGACTATAACAGCATAACTCTGTAAACATACTGATATAACATTGAACTACATGCCTTGAGTGGATGAATTGTGTCGTATGTGAGTTATATTTTAATAGAGCTGTGTAAAAAAGTGAAGAGTTGGGGATTTTACAATATTTTTAGCTCTAACAGCTAAGTCTTTTGTGTAATTTCTAGACATTTAGTACACATTTTCAGGAATACATTATTTACAGAAGTAGAGGATTGCAGCTGGTTTGCTTCATTATCACCACCCCAAAGCCTTCTATAAGACCTAGCTCCTGAACACCTGCGACCCTCTCTGCTATGCCCATCATAGAGCCTTGAACAAAGAGTATTCCAGCTGAATTCAGTGGTCTCTGCCTGAAGGTAGCCAACGTTTATACCGTAAAGTAGGCACTTTTGGAAAGGACATGAGAGAATGGGAGAGAGTTTGCTTTGTGAGGAGGGAGAAGAAGTGTAAAAAGAGAGCCCCCTCAGCACCCCTAGTTCCTGAGTGTCCTCTCTTCCCTCTTGAGAATGTGCCTATACACTTCACCCACACATATTCACAGGCACTTACGGCTGTGGATAAGATTGTGAAGGTTGTGCCCTCCGAAAGGGTGTGGGAATGAAATTCAGCCATCCCTCCTTCTTCCAAGCCTAGAGTTGGCCAGGAGAGGGTGCCTTTCTCTAATTTGCACAAGAGCACCATTTTGCTGGCAGCAGCCATGCTTAACACACACTTCTAGTTTTTACCACTTAAAACGCACCCGACAAGAGTAACTTTGAATTGACTTCTGTCCCATATGGGAAAACTCTGAGAATATACAGCACTTACCTACCTGAAGGGACCAGACACACCTTAGCTCCCAAGCAAAAAGGAAGCTCCCATCTTGGTTCATATTTCTATATGAGCCAATGAATCCTCACCAAAACTCAAAATGGAGACCCCTCCTATTCTAGAAATGAAAACAGGCCTTGGAAAAGCAGGATTCATTATTCTTCACAGCAGTTTGCAGTACATAGCATTAAATTCTGTTCGTGGGATGACAAATAGCTGGTCAATTCATTAAAAATGCAGTCATTCACACAGACCTTTGGTCTTCACACAATGCCAGTCACCAATCTGAAAAACTTAACCAAATGGATTCAGTATTTTTTGGTCATGAAGCCCTGGTCTGTAATAACAGTGTGGAAAGAGATACGAAAGAAAAGGAAATGATAAAAGGGTTTTTGAAAGCAAGTAATACTATTGTCATTAGATTCTTAGGCATAGCTCTGATGCTTGGATTAATGCTGCCTTTTCTTTTTTAAAAAGCAGAGTGGGAAGTCCTCTGAGCACAAGCCCCCACTCCTTTAGCTCCCTGCCTCCCCAGGGGGCCAGCCCCCCTCCCATCTCATCCTGGGTCCAAACTAACTCAGGGAGAGGGCTGAGAATGTGTCAGAAGAGGAGGACACAACCAAGTGGTGAGAATTAGAGTCCTCCGAGAGGAGCCCAGGAATAATGCAGCCAAATTCATTCACCAGGGAGTTCTTTAAGTGGCTCTCAAATGGCACCCATCACACAGGCAAGCCTCCGCGTCTTTGCAGCGAGCACAATAGGTACCAGATGAGTCACAGGCACCTTGGATTTTTAGTTTGCATCTAAATAAGCACTTTATATTTGCAAAAGGCTTTCCAGTGATTTGCAAAAAGCTTTCTCCTTCAACAATTCCAGGAGGGGAGTCCACAGAACTAAAGATTTATTGAGCCCCCTGTCTGACCAAATAAAGGGTGGTGAAAAGCAGCCCTCACAGAACTCTGGGGCTCATTAAACCCAGGCGGGGAGTTAGAGTCAGGCCTTCCCACCCAGGCTGGCCTCTTTCCTCCTGGACTGCTAGCTTCCTAAAGAGCAACACTTGTCAGCACACACACACACACACACACACACACACACCTCCCACCCTGGGACAGGGCTCTGAGATAGAAATCAAATTCTATGAGGTACTGAGATCTTCAGTAAGTGGCAAGCCATATAGATCTCGCTCAAAGAACCAGAAGCCAGACGGGGCATCGCGGTCATCTCATTTGAGGAGAAATGCTAACCGCTTGCCTGAAGTCCTGCAGCCTCTTAGCACACGTGTGGGACTAGAAATGGAATCTCCTGCCTTTCCACCAGCACTCTATTACAGTAAGTGTTACCTTCATTGGTGAAGATGAGGATGAGGCACCAAGGCAGGGGCTTCTGGCCACACTGGCAGCTCATCTCTAGAGATGCAATTTTCTTGTACTAAATGAGACACATTTCCTATGTCTTCAATGCCCTGTCTATCTTCTGTGCTAATGCTCACTTACATGAGTCTGGAAGCAACAACAATAAAAATAGCTACCATTTATTTAGCATGTACT